AGAGTTTATTTTTCATATGCTCTATGAAGTCTGTGATCTTCTTCATCCATGAACATGTATCTCTGGAGTTTTCTTTCCAGCCTTTTCCTTTATGCCTCCTTGCTTTCTCTAATCTTGACCTTAAAGGGATAGTTCGGTATTTTTGACATGAATCTGTATGGCATCCCCATCACCAGTGTCATGCAATCACACTGACTTACCCCTGGCAGCGTCCTGTGAGCAGAGTTCTCGTCCAGTTTTGGTCAAGCCGAAAGTAGTCCGGCAGGTTTGCTAGAGCCAGCGAAATAAAACGTTTCTCTTCCCAAAACATTATGTGTTCAAAAGAGCGATATTTTTGCATCCCAAAAACGTTGTAGTGGAAAAAGTCACACGTCGTTATCACTTGGTCCTATTTTCTCTCTGTTCGTATCAGTGCGCGCCGTCATTCAGACAGCTAGGGCCTACTAACCTGACAACAGCCAGATGCATGTCTCCCTCCGCCCAGCTAGGAGCTAGGCGGAGGGAGACATGCATCTGGCTGTTGTTGAGCTCGCTGTCTGAATGACGGCGCGCACTGATACGAACAGAGAGAAAATAGGACCAAGTGATAACGACGTGTGACTTTTTCCACTACAACGTTTTTGGGATGCAAAAATATCGCTCTTTTGAACACATAATGTTTTGGGAAGAGAAACGTACAGATTCATGTCAAAAATACCGAACTATCCCTTTAAGTTGCTTTTGTATACTCCTCATTAATTCCCTGTCTCCCTTTTAAAGGATTGTTTTTTTCTTGTTTAACAGTCGCTTCAGATCACTTTTTATCCATAGTTTATTATTTGGGAAACATTTCAATATTCTGGTAGGGATGGTGTTATCTACACAGAGGTTTATGTAGTCAGTCATACACTCAGTAATTGTATCGATGTCCTCTTCATGTCTCCATGTCTGACAGTGCATCCCAGTCTGTAGCCTCAAAACAACCTTATAGAGCTTCTTCAGCTTCTTGTGACCATCTTATTATGGTTCTTTTTAATAAAGGTTGTCTTTTATAAAGTGGCTTATAGTCTGAGCAGAGAAAAACAAGATTGGGATCTGTATTCCCAAGAGGAGGTATTAACATTTGCATAAAACAAGTCCAAAATTTTGCTTTGTCTGATAAACTGTTGACGACTGACAAACTGTTGGAACATTGGCAGTGTAGGTTAGAGTGAGGCGTTATTAAAATCTCAAGGTATTGCAACAGGTGCATTTGGCTGTTATGACTGGAGCTTGGCAACAACTGCACTGATTACATCACATGCAGTGTTGGCAAAGGTAGAAAGTGGAATGTAAACGGTTACTAACAGAACACTGGTAAACTCTCTGGGCAAATAATGAGGCCAAAAACCAACAGTTCATCATATTACTTGCATTTGACAAGTCTTCACAGTAGCATGTCTTGGATAATACCATATGTTGTTCATCACCTTCTTTAAATTTTCTTTCTTCTTTAAACCTTTGTCTGCTCATATGGTCAAAAGGAATATCAAAATCAAGCTGTCAGCGCTATTCCAATGTGTAGCCACCTTAAGTTACCCATTTATAGAATTTATGCTACAAAAACAAAACAATTTAAAGGAGCCATTCCTTTTTAAGAGCATTGTGATCAGTGCTTCAGTCAGAAATGCTTATAAACACAGTCAGTGTTTATTTTTGGGACATATTGATTTGCTGCTGTTTTTTTTTCTTATTAAATCATCTGATCTCATGTAAAACAAGATGTTTTTGTTGGAAGGAAAAATTAACTGTGAGGGTCACATATTTTTAATATCTAATTTAGTCACATTTATATTTGAATCAGAGAAAGGAAATGCATTCCTCTAAAAGAAGGATGACAATAGTTTCTTTGGTAAATTTTATTTTATTCTAGCCAGATAAATTAATTCCTAAAATAGATATATTTTTTCTTATTCCCAGAAGTTTTATTACATTTCATTGTACTGCATCAAGATAATAACAACCTTTTATTTCTCCTACAGCTGAAAAGAACATAACCTCAACAAAAACGTGGCAAAGACACAAAAAGTTTGGAGTTTCTAAAATAATAATCCTGTCTGGCAGGATGATTATGTTATCAGTCATCTTTAAGAGTTTATTATTTGTCAATGTAGCATAGCTCCTGCTGTTAAGTAGGTCATATGTAGGCCCATATCCAAACCTAATGCTGTTCTTAAATGGGAGCATTGTGTTGTTGTGGTTAAGTAAGAGCATGGTCTGTTAAACACTGTGACATTCATCTAAATGAGCTCACATAAAGCTGGGAGCCTAAATGGTTCCAACATAAACATTACCTGGAGCACCCAGCATGGGCCCCAGTACCACTTTCTCAGCCAACTGCTGCCTCAAGACGTTTCAGTAAACAAGACGTTTTAACCAATAGCAGAAAAGGAAGGAGTGGCTGGCTGTGAGTTTTAGATGAGACAGGAGCTTTGGGGCCCCTGCGATGCAAAGTGATAGCCCAAGATGAGGGCGAGGAGCCGTTTTATAGGGGTAAGGAACTCATTTAACCCTCAGCAGCACAGCTTTCTGCAAACAGACAGGGATTAAGACAATCTGAAGATAAAATGAAAAAATCATATTAATAATTTTAGCACCGGATCAGCAAATGTGACACATTCCTACCCTCTTTACTACAGTTTAAAGAAATATGGGTAAAATGAAGCCACTACTGTGGGTGGGGCAACTAAAACTAATTATAATCCTCTCTATGGGGGGTGTTGGGTATACAATGATTGCATCAAGGCAAAGCAGTGATCTGAGGGGAAACTAGTGTGGATTAAGATACAAACTCTTGAACAGCCTACTAAATTGAGATAAACATCAGGGTTTACGGTAAGTTTAGCGAGCAGGTTTGTACCTGCCAGCATTCAGCTGCAGGAGGATGAAGAAGCTCATGGGAACATGATGACCGACTGTATTCTACCAGCAATCCATGCAGACTGTGCAGCCTTCGCTTTGTCTTTGCTCGGAGCCCTCAGTGGTTGCTTCATCATCAAGATTATCCATTACTCTGCTTATTCACACATTTCACTTTTTTACATTTTGTCATATTGCAACAATGAGCTCTAATGCAATTCAATGAAACTTATCTACAAATTGTAGTGCAGAACTGTAGAAGGTAAAGAATGGTTTAAAAAAAAATGTTAGAAGTGTATATTTACAGTCATTTTTACTATTTTTTTTTAAGGCTGCACTTTTAAAAAGATGAAATTGTCCCATGAGCTGTTTCCAAACGAAATTTCTTTTTGTTTTACACTTGTGTAAACAAAATGACACATAAAATCTGGTATTTGTACTGTATTAAATTGTGTTACTAATCCAGAGATCGACATGGTTTACTGTTCCCAGCTGAAGAAAAGCAGTCCCACATTATGACTCTACCACAACCATGCTTTACTGTGGGTAGCTTTTTCAGTATTCTAAAAGTTCTCTCTTTTGTGGCCTGTGACAACCTGTAAGCAGGACTTCATTCTTCTTGCAACTCTTGAAAAAAAAATTCTGTGGATTGTTCCTATGGCCCAAAAGATTTTTCAACATGAGGTGTGAAATTCTGCACCTTATTCAGAGATATCGGCCACATGACTGCTTTTCTAGTCAATAATGTCCATTCCCATCTGTCATATTAGGTGGAAAAAGTCATCTTAGTGTGAAGTTGTGCCATACTATAGTTCATTGGTCTTCAAAGTCCTGTTTGTTTACTAAATCCCTGTAGGCCTTCACTTAGTTGCTCTATATATACTGAGATTAAATTGTACACATTTAGCCTGCATTTACAAACGGTTCTAAATACAATTCTCAAAAAATTCTACAGTTAAGTAATTTTGGGTCCTGAAGTTAAGCGGGTAGAAAATGTTGACATTTTTACATAACTCAACTTTTTGAAAGTATTGAACTTCAAGATTTTTAACTTGAATTTTTTTAAATCTAAAAAAATGCAATAGATTTCCTTTAATCACTATATTTTTTTTCTTTCTGTGGGATATTTACTAGATCACTTAAATTTGTTGGAAAAAATAACATTTGGGATGTGCAGTGCTTGTTTTAAAAAGCATGAGAACCGGTCTACCATTTAAACCAATCAAATAAAACCCTTTCCAAAAATCCCAGATGTCTATTGTTGATTCTCACCCTGTATATGGAACAAAGAAGTTCCCTCTGTGTCGCTCACAACTTTGGTTCTCAGGATACTGACTCTTGTGCCTCTGCCTGCCTTTAATCTAGTTTCAGGAGGAGGAGGCAGCCACTGAAAGGTAAAAGCCAAGAAGCAGATGGAAACAAGTCTTCAAGGAAATTAATGGAGGTTGTACAGTGAAAGCATAAGTCTGCCATGTTGTATTTGGGTGCAGGAAGAGTAAAAAAAGAAGCAGTAACTTGGAAAAGGGAACCTTAAGATCGGGGTAGTTGGCTCAGAGTTGCTGTTGTAGGTAGCTGGGTGGTAGTAGGAGGTGGTAGTGCTGAGGCCCTGCATGAATACTGATGATCTGGCTTTAACAACTCCGGCAGTTATTCATCAAGCCATTAAAAAGGAGCTCAAGCAAGACATTTGGGAGGCCGGTGTGTTCCAGACAGTTTTTCTTCTCTTTGTATCAAGTTTTTTTTTTGGTAGGGACAAGGAAGAGAGCCAGTATACAGACTGGAGAATAAATCAGAGGCGATGAAAAGAGTGAAACGGTTAGACCTGGGCAGCGAGCTTAGGCCAGCTGTTGGGCCTCCTCCTGGGTAGAAAAGAAGTTAATTAACTGCGGAAGTGGCTCATGCAGGGTCTAATTCACTTAAAGGACAGTTTGATAAATGAGCAAACATTAAAATTCAGCCTACCTGGCTTGGAACTCAGAAAGAATCAGGAATATTTAAAAGATCTTTCTGCTTTTACACAACAAACTATTGATACTTTTTAACTCCTTTAAGTGACAAGAGCGCCCTCTTGTGCTTACATATTCATATTGGTGGGGAAAATAAAAACCAACACATTTATTCCATCCATATACACATATATATTCTTTATCTTGCCATAAAGCTTCAGAATCACTGTTTCAACAGAGAAAAAAAAGAAACTACAATGATTTTTTTTTTAGAGAAAATATACAGTTAGACATGTCTACATGTCAGGATTTTCAACAGTATAATTTCATATATGTATAAAGAAAGCAGCAAATATTAAACATGTTTAAAGAACAAGAAGACAGCTACAGGTCTTCACAATGCCATCACACGGGTAGACAGAAAAAGAGTCACTACAGCTAATCGGATACTGAAACATGAGTCCTCCATGTCTGTTAGCATAGAAACACTGATGTAGGTTTTAAAGTAGCACAGACTAAACAAAACGCCACTGATGTGTTTATGAAACACATCAACACTAAAGGTCAGTGTCTGGTTTTACATCTAACAGACTGAAGTCTTTGTGATATCATGCTGATGGTTTCGAGGATGTTTAGAATGTAAAGAACGAAGCAGGAAGAGCAGAGAAGGGGAATGTGGATCTTAAAGTACCTTGCTGTAGTATTCCCCACCCCTTTAACATTTTTTTCCCTTCTTTGCACATTATAACCACAACCTTTGATGTGTTTTACTGGAATATGACAAACCGATATGGTTATGGGATGAAAGGAAAACACGCTTGGTGTGTCTTTACTCTAACCAAATGTAAATTAATCAAACCAATTCACCTCAGGAGATGCCTGTGAAGCAGAAACATGAGGATTTCTGAAAAAAGTTTGTGAAAAAAAAGTCAGTGGCAAGACTTAAAAATACTAGTTCAAAGATTCTCTTCCTTCAGTCTGAGTAAATTAAACAGGAAAAAATGTTTGTGTCTCTAGACATGAAAAGCTGGTGAAAAAACTACTGTAAAAGTTTAGTTTCACAAAGATGTGCTTTTTGGTGTTGGTCTGTCATTTATAATCCCAATAGATTACAGCGATTTTGTGGCTGTATGGTGACAACGTTTAAAAGCCAGAGGGGGTTTTGTGATTTTGATAAGCAGCAGGTTTCATGAGCTTTGCTTTAACAAACAGCATAACGGGAACCTGAAAATAAAAACAATCATCAGAGGCTTCTATAAAAACAGCATTATTATCATTGAAGATAATAAAATCACTTTAGGATATATTTTGTACTGAACTGCACTCTGGTGGCAGTCCTCAAACGGACGTGAATCTAACAAGAACACAAAGGCCAAGCTGTGCAACTTAAGCACTTAAGCACAAGAAAAGGCAGAAATGCCTGTGAAGTAGGTTTCTATTGTGTTGGTGTACCTGTGTAGTATTAAATGGGCAATTAAAGTAAGTTATTAAATCTTAGGTGGAAAATTAAAAGTGCAATTCTTAAATCAAGAAAATCCTCCATACATTAGGATATTTTTTGAGCGCACCCATAGAGGGACAGCAGTACTCTGAAATCACCAATAGGAGCACAGAAAGTAACGTTCAGAAAATAAACATTCAGGAATTTAAACGTGCTGAGCAGCATGGAGTGATGAGGCAACAGGGACACTAAGTGTGTTTCTTCTTGGGCTGTCACATGCATTTACACATGAACACAAACACACACTGTTTACATCACGTGTTAAGAAAACTCAACCCCATTACAGCCACAGACAAAGGTAGTCTCCAGTAAAAACCTCACAAGGAATAAACATCTCACATCGCTTCAGACCAGGAGTTTCCTGGAAGCTTAGAGTTTGTTCATGACAATTAAGTTACAAATCAGAGAGGAGCTGCTCCTTTATTCACTCAGTGCCCTCCAGCCCCACTTCCACTTCGTCATCACCAAGGACGGCTTCTGGAACGCCTCCTTCTCCTTGGAAGAGCTCCTCCATTAGCTGCTCCCCGGCGCTGCCGGCCCGTGATGCCCAGAGAGCGGCGCCCTCCCGCAGGCCCAGCGAGCGCAGCAGCCGTGCATAATCCAAAAATGCAGCCTCGATGAGTTTATGTGCAGAAATGAGTCAAGGACACAAAACCTCACAGTGAAATGACACTTGTATTTGTATCGACAGTCTTCAAGAAGTGAATCTAATCTGCAGAATTGAACACCTGATTTTTTATAGAATTAAATTTGACCTCCTTCAAAGACATGGCTTCATTTAATGCAAATAATCCTAATAACTGCTCTTATCCTTTATGGATTTACTAAAAATGTTGTTGATAACCTGTGAGTAGTTAATTACTGAGTGAAATCCAAACAGCAGATCCACTGTCTGTTTCCTCATTAAGAGACCCAGTGAGGGTAAAGGAAAAGCATTCAGTAGAAAAAGAAACCGAAAAACGATGTAGGTCAGCAACTAAGGATTATTTTACAAATTGATTCATTTATCAATTATGTTTTTCAATTAATTGAATTCAACTAAAACTTTTCCACTTGAGGTGGTCTGTTGATGTAATATCATATTGACAGACGATAAGTTTTTTAAATCCTAAATGCTAAATGTGCACATATTTTTTTTTTGCAATTTTGGTATAATTGATGCTTAAGGTGGGTCGCTCTATGAGCTAAAGGCATATTTTAGTCTCTACACTCCAGTTAACGATTAATCAATAATTAAATTAGTTGACTGAGGGAAGAAAAGAGCGGGAGATCGACAGGCGGATTGGTCAATCTACGTTCCTACCTTCATCTATGGTCATGAACTCTGGGTCATGACCGAAAGAACGAGATCGCGGATACAAGCGGCCGAAATGGGTTTCCTCCGTAGGGTGGCTGGGCTCTCCCTTAGAGATAGGGTGAGAAGCTCGGTCATCCGGGAGGGACTCGGAGTAGAGCCGCTGCTCCTCCACGTCGAGAGGAGCCAGTTGAGGTGGCTCGGGCATCTGGTTAGGATTGTCGCTACCTGATCCGTACCGGTAGCACGATCCGTACCATCAGCTCATTTGCGCCTGCGCGAACAGAATAACTTCCGGGTCGCCAAAAAATAATGTAATTACGGTACTGAAAAAAATTTATTTATATCCTTAAATAATTAAAGAATACTAAACTACATCGTAAAGACAATATTGAAGACTTTTCTGGAAGAAATGAATGCTTTTTAAATTCAATCCATTGTGTTGCTTGATGTCGTTTTTCTGGAATAAAAATCCAAATTTTCGGGAAATGTTCCCTTATCAATGAAAAACTGCAGGTCATGAAAGGTAGCAAATGAATCCATTGTGGGATCAGTACTGCTGGAGTGCATAGTTAAGAGTAAATCAAATATTTAAACAAATTTAAATATATACGCTGTGTGACGTATATTTGCGCATGCTCAGAGCAGTCAAAGTAACTATCACAAGGCGATTGAACTTTTTTATGTATTTCTGTTTTTTTATTTTTAGAGAATGCAATATTGACGAAAATACAAAGATATACAAAAAGAAACCCAACTCTAAAAAATACAAAAGAATAAAAAAGTAAGAAAAAGGAAATATTGCCACCGGAAGTTATTCTGTTTGCGCAAGCGCAAATGAGTTGATGGTACGGATCGTGCTTCCGGTACGGATCGGTTAATTACAAGGATGCCTCCTGGACGCCTCCCTGGTGTTTTTTTTTTAGAGCAATAGGCCTATGATTGTCTTATGAAACAAATTTGACTATATTTCTAATAAGACACACAAAGATAAAAGTCTGCACATATGCAGACTTTAATCAAATGCTACCTTATTCTTTTAAACGAGACATACAGAGTAACATTTGGTAAAAACAGGAGCCAGTGTGTTCTGTAATGGGATTTGAAAAAAGGATATTGGAAGAGTCATTGGCCTCCATCACCCCATATTTCAGGCAAGCCTCAATGAAGAGGGCAGCACGATCAAAGTACCTCATACTGTCCCCGGCAGGCGGAGAGGAGAGAGGAGCAAAAACAAGAGATTAGAACAATTACAAAAGAAGACTATAATTCACAGAGAGAGATTCATACTGCTAAGAGCATCTCTGAAGTCATACTGGTAAACCTGCATCATATTGATTCTGTGGTAAAAGACACCAAACACTATGAACTGACCCGCAATACACAAAGCTCAGAATAAATTAATCTAATTACATAAAACCTGAAACAAAATATTTGAAAACTGAATTATTCTTATTTTTTAATATCAATCTTCTCCCACTTAGTCTTTGTCAGGGTTGCGGTGGGGCTAATGCCCATCTCCAGCAGTCTATGGGCGAGAGGCGGGGTACAACATGGACAGGTCGCCAGTCTGTCGCAGAGCAACACACAGACACACAACCATGCACGGACACACTCACACTTAAGGACAATTTAAAGAACCTAACAGTCATGTTTTTGGACTGTAGGAGGAAGCCGGAGTACCTGGAGAGAACCCTTGCATGCTCAGGGAGAACATGCAAGCTCCATGCAGGAATCGAACCCAGAGCCATGTTGCTGCAAGGTAACAGCACTACCCACTGCTTTACTATGCAGCCCTGATTTTTTAAATAAAATCATTTCCTTCTTTAGGCTTTTTGTGTGGAAGTATTTGCCTTTTTTGATAGTAGCATCACAGGAAATGTGTTTAAAGAGAGCGAAGTTATGCAACAATTGGCGCTGATTCAAACCTGGAATATCTGACAGCTGTTAAAGTAACATTTAAAACATTTTTTATTTAAATAAATAATAAATAATTGTGTTAAACTATATTTAATGTAATATTTACTACTATAAAACTTAATCTATGTGTAAATAATTAGGAAAATGACACTTCAGAGTTACTGTTAAAAATGCCTGAGGTTACCCTACTTGAACAGAATCCCTAATGAATGGATTGTTTTTTTTGCTGTACCTGTGCAACATCTCTCCCACTTTGTAGAAGCAGCCCAGGGACAGCAGCACCAGGATGGCTTTGGATTTCTGGTTTACCTGAGGGGAGCACAGGTGCTCTGCCCAGCGCTTCAACACATCAGAGCTTTCTGCTGAGTTCAAGCGAACCTGGAAACACACATATCACACAGGAGGCTGTCAGTCACAAACTAAAAGCTACCGGCCTCCTTTTCTCTGAGTTCCTACATGTTTTCAATCCCAGAATTTTCCCATGTCTTCCTGATTTCTTTAAAGCTCTAAATAACGATTGAAAACGAATAAAAAAAGCAGCATATAATTTGTCTTTAAACCAAAGAACTTGTTTGCGTCATTTGCCGGAGCAGGAAATGCCATCGATTCAGTGATGCTGAGTTACCTTAGCAAGCCAAGCAGCGCGGTTCCATTCCCCGTAAGTCTGCAGGTAGCGGCAGGCATCTGCTGCCTTGTCAATCAAACACAAAAGCTGCACTCCCTCTGAAACGAAGCCACAATGGTCCACAGAAACGAGTTAAAGAGGGATCAATCACTGATACTCTAACATTCTGCATTTCTGCCATTTAAACAAAAAAGAAAAAAAACATGCTAGAGGTCTTAGCAGGAAAAAAAACTCAATTTACCTGCAAGTTTGCCGTTAGCGATCATATTAGTGGCCACTAGTTTGATTGTCGACTGTGAAGGTCCAGAGGAGGTGATGGTGGTCACTAGGCAGGCTTTGAGTGAGTCACAGTAGTAGCTTGGGTTGTCTGCACTCGTCTCCAGCAGCAATTGCACTGCCCGGTCAGTCTGAGAGCAACGACAAAGTGAAGAGAGTGTAACGGCTGATGCAGAGGAGACAAACAAAGTAGAGGAAAGTGTTCTAATGGGGTTTACAATAAAAAATGACGATCAAGCTGGAGGCTGGAAAGAAGACTGTCAGTGTGGTAGATGGCTGCACGTCTAGCACACAGGCTTCTAATGGGAGCCTGCAGGCTGTCCTGTTATTAATCAGGGATTATATGCACCTGATATGAATGTATGCCTGAGGAGTGGGACAAGCTGGATGGTCTCACCCACTAATGAGTGGGGGACGGTCCACCTGTGTGAGAAACCAGTACCTAAAGACAAATGCTTCAGAGTAGAAATCAAATAGGAAGTCTGAGATTTTTTTCTTAAGTTTGTCAAATAAAATTAATGTATTATAAGTGTAAAAAAAGAATTAATTCTAATAAAAATTATTTACTTTTATCCTGCTAAAATAGTAAAAAAAAATTCCTATATGATGAGATGGTGTTCCATGTTAAAGCCTGCTTTTACTTTGAAAGATAAGACAAACACATGTAAAAAAAAATGGAAATAAAGAAATAAATTATCTGAAAAAACTAATAAATAAGAAGTTGCCAGTAGGAAGAGGCTGCCTCACTGTTCATTGTTGATTCCAGGTATTTCTAACCTACCACAGTAGATGCTGTCAGTGAAACACTTCATTCTTGAGGCATAAAAGGAATTGATCTCAAGAGTTTCGATTTTAAAATTCTAATAAAACTAAAGCACAGATTTCATTCAGAGCAGCTTTGAGTCAGAAACAAACTGTAGGCTTAACGCCATATTTTTAGCCAGTTCGCAAAGTTAGCAAAATCTAATTTACTGGTCATTATTTATTCGCAGCTTCGCTTCAAACTTGGACATGTAACAGGAAGTCTGAGGACCCCTGGTGCAGGAGCTCGGGCAGCGTTGTTCTTACCTGACCCAGCAGGAGAAGCTGGTCAGCACATTTCTTGGTGTGCTCGTAGCTGGACCTCTTCACCTCCTGCAAGTGAACTCGATCCAACTGGAACTTCTGTTGAGTCAAACGGGTGGAGCAGAAGATTTCCAAAGATTAAAGTTCAGATACTTATATGCAGGACACGCAATCTAAGAATGGGTCAAGTTCACATATTAAGCATAGCAGATTTTAAATTAGAAAAAATGGTTAAACAGAGATGTGAAGACAATTATTAGGGAGAGGATAAATTGTGAAATCTTTTACAAAAGATCAGGGGACTCTGGCGCCAACGCCTTTAAAATGAAAGCAACAATCGACCAGAACAAAAAGGGAATTAAATGATAGGAATAATAAAGAGCAATCATCTTTATTATACAAAATTTCCTTATAAAATAATTACCTCCAACAGACAAGAGGATATCTACTGCCTTGCAAAAGGAAGCACAGCTCTTTTACTTTCTGTCACCTTACAGGCACTGATAGAAATTCAGTATAAAATCCCAGTATAAACACTGAAATTTTTCACTGTCAGAAAAGATCTTTTCTTCAGGATCTTTCCTAAGGAGGTAATGAAAACACAACCAAATAATCCGCTCTGCTTCCTTTTCACTGACCTGGAAGTAGGAACACTCGCACAGGATGTCGTGGCAAATGTCTAGGTGGTTTTGAGACGCCGGCTGGGTTTCTTCGCTCCCGCCTTCAGTTGTCACGCTTAACTGACGAGCCTGCGCAAACAGCTGCAGGTAGTGAGACGCCACCGTCCAGAAGTTAAGGTCGGACTCATCGCCAAACAGCCTAAAGTCAAATACATAAGGGAGAGAGAAAAAAAAGGCCTTTGAAGAAATTAGTCACATTATAATGTTTTATAAGCTGCTTCATTTTCCTTTGGAGTTTCCTCGCTACTGATCTAAGCTCCTATATTTTGGAGCTGATTCTTCATCAAAAAGTTGGAACAGAAAAATGCAGAGATGAGATCTCAATTGTATTTATGTCAAAATATTCAACAAAATAAATACTTTTTTTTTTGGTTCCTTGATGAATTAAAGTTGTACTAAAAGCCTTACTAAAAAAAAAAAAATCTCTTGTAGAACAGAGTCTCAACTAAAAGAAAACTGAAGAAAATGACCTGATTTACTGACTTTTGCTCTCAGGCTTTCATAATAAAAATAAAATACAGACTCTTTTTTTTTTTTTCCTATTTTAATGCAAATTAAATATAAAAATATTACCACAGTGGTTATCAGCTGAAGATAGTATTTAGTGTTATACTTTGAACATATACCTGTAGTTTCATATAATAGTGCAATTTGCAGATAGTAGCAACACCACATAGAGGTTTAACACACCGTGAGACCAGGAGGCAGCGCTGCAGAAGACTGAGCTCTGGGTCCAGAAGCACACTCTTCATATCACTGAGGATCCAATCAGAAACAGATCATTCTTCAGAACAGCAGCACCACAATGAATTCTCTTATCATTCCAGCTACACAGTACATTAAAACAAAACGATCTCTGGCAAAACTTTATTAAGCCTAACTTAGCGTTAACATCATGTGTAAACACACTAAATGTTTACATGAGTGTCAAACACCCATCATGGGCATGGATGTCAGCTTGATGTTGGATAAAAAGATTAATTAGAACCGTTTTTTTTCCCCAGGGTAGTGAATGAAAAATGTGTATCTTTTCTGAAAAATAAAAAGAACTGTTAAGGCTTGAATATCAAAATGACAGATGGTTTATGAACACATTAGATCAACATCTGATCCCCATTCCTATTATTTAGGCCAGTTGTATGATTATTCTACCCCCTACCATCCCAAAACAATACTATTGAAATAAATAATTAAAAGCCCCAAAGGATCAACATCATTAAATCTTCGAGTAAGTGAGATTATTTCAGATTGTTAGCAATTCTAAATCTTGTAAGATACAAGAAACTTACTTAGACAATGAGTTGAGCTGCTCCTGGATCAGTCCTTTTATCTCAACTTTTTCACTGTAATCTCTAAAGGGGAAAACAAAGAATATTGACGACTGTTTTTTTCTTGACACTTAATGTTAAACGACATAAAATGAAAACAAAGTTGATTTGATTACATCTAATTCTAACAGATATTCTGAGATAACGTGGGGTAAAGTAGCCTCCTGAAACATCTTTAAAAGATTTTTTTAAAGTGAGGATTCAGAACTTAGAAAAGAAGCAAAAAAGGAAAACAAAAAAACGTAGCTACTTCAGCTGGACTATAAAATCAACGTTTAGCACTTTCAGATCAATCCTAAGAATCGTCGTTGTTTATAATCATTTTAACTCAAGATCGCAATAAAAAGGTTTAACATACAGCTTTAAAATAATTCCAATATCTAAATCCAGCTCTAAGTTTGGGAATAAGTGAATAAATTTCATGACAAATTAGATAAGACCTAGTACATTTAAACTCTGTTTTATCAGTGGTTTGTGGCTTGAATTCAATTCAATTCAATTCAGTTTATTTATATAGCGCCAAATTCACAACACATGTCATCTCAAGGCACTTTACAGTTCAACCAGATCATACAGTCAAATTGATACAAAGTTTTCTATCTAAGGAAAACTAGTTGATTGCATCGACTCAAATACAATCCCTCACACTAAGCATGCTTGTAGCGACAGTGGAGAGGAAAAACTCCCTTTTAACAGGAAGAAACCTCCAGAATTAAAGCTAAAGCAGTTGAACCTGAATGAGCTTTCCTTAAATATTGAAGCACTCCAGCTAAAATATTTAAGACAAACCAAAACCTTCAAAACCAACAGAAATAAATCTCTTAATGCTTTATATGAGGATCATACAGAATGTAGAGAGAAACTTACACCTGTGTGATGTCCATAGTGAAGGTTCCTGACCAGGGCTGGAGCAGGAGGAAAGCCTTGAGGGTGAGGGCAGCGCGGGGAAGCAGCAGGTAAGGACACCACACTGGGTCTGTGTATGATCCCCACAGGCAAACAGGAACATCAAGTTAATATAATGAAGCATAGCTGGGTCCTAATAGACCGCAGTGCCCTTTAAAACCTCATTTTTTTAATCCATTGAGACTTTTTCCTTGCTCACCAGTCAGGTCTTGCTCATCCATGCGGTAACTGGCAGACTTCATGGCCATCTCCAACACTCGGATGCAGCCATCGTCTGAAGCCAACACAACTTTATCTGACGTACACCAGTCGATGTCTAGGATGCGGTAGTTCACATTGCGTCCAAACCGAATGCCACTGACCATTTGAACCTTTAATAGAATACTTACATGTTACATGTATGATGCATTTTCTTTAATAATCCAAAATATGTTGGTTTCAGTCTTTAAATGCACTCATACTTGCAGCTTCTTTCACTTAATAAATTAAAATATATTTTATTTTTACTATTTTATCTGTAAAATTAGTAGAAAAATCAGCACATATCAATAGAGCAGAGCTGTGAGGTGACGTTATATGATACTATTGAAGGAGTTAGCTGTACTGCTGTTTAAGCAGTGCAGTGAAGTGGTGGGTGTGTAGATGCTTACCTCTTTAGTGTCCCAGACCTCTGCTCCATCTGTGTACATGACCAGCAGCTTTTGGTTGCCTTTACCAGGAGCAAAGCGGATCTTCTTCACCCAGCCCCGATGTGTCGGTATCCCCCTGAGAAAATCATTTTCTCCAGTTGAATTATTTCTTCTACCTCTTCAACTGCTCTTCTGTCTGTTGTTAAAATGTATGCTCAATTTGTGGTTGTGAGTGCACTACATTATTTTTCTTTGATGCACAAAAATGATTAAGAAAAAGTGAATTTGAGGAAGGATAAAAATCTTCCATGATACAGTAAATGGTGTCGTTTCATTATAACAAGAACAACTAAATCTGTAAAGCGCCTTGAGATGACATGTGTTGTGAATTGGCGCTATATAAATAAACTGAATTGAATTGAATTAAATGATTTATGATGAATGTATGAATACCTTGGAAATTTTCTTACCTTGACAAACGAGCTTTAAGGTCCCAGAAGTTCAGGTTGCCATCCACATCTCCAAGCACCAAGGTGTCGCCTTTCCAGGCAATACAGGCAATACTGCCCATGCTACCCTGCAAAAAAAAAAGCAGCGCAAACAATCATTAAGAGCTTTAAGAAGTACATTACCTCGCAACAATAATAACAAAACAATGAAAGGCCAGGGCTGAGTTTTAAAAACCAGTTTACTTTTATACCAGGATTCTTTTTTACTCTTCAAAGACATGAAGCTATAAGAGAAACTGACTGATTTTTTATTTTGAGAACACATATTAATGTAACACCATAGAGAAAAAAAGCAACTATTCAAAGATCAAAAAGAGAACAAAACAAACCGTAAAGGAGGCTAAAAACTTGTTGATAGCAGCAAATATTAAAAAGTCGCTGGAAAAACCTGCGTCTCATAATGAAGTCAAGAGTATAATTTTTAAAATAAGGACAAGATATCAGGACTCACATCAGGGGGGATTCGTGCCCCGTCTTTCACGCTGTTGCCCTCCACAGTGATGTGGTAAACCTGCCCATCGGTGTCTGTCAACACAAAGTGTTCTCTGGCCGAGATTGCCTGGCTGGTCTCTGATTTGCTCTCTGCGTCTTGCAGGAGACTACAGGAGACAAGGATGAAATAGGGCAATAATGGAAGGTTTTTGGTACGGCATCCACAAGGGGTTAATGAGCATTATTTTTATTGAAAATAAACATGACAACATTATACATATTCAGAAAAGTTGTGACATAAGGCTTCCTACCATCTCTCCAGATCTCTTTCTGCACTTCATTCTAATTCTAAACACAAATTCATTCTGTAACCTTAAACAAAACCTGACTGGTGGTCCAGTAAGTTTCTGGCACTTATAGATAACCCTTAGAGTGAGTTATTGCATCAGCAGCCTGGCTATGGTTTTCAAATTGATTCAAAACACACACAAAAAGAATAAGGTGTGAAACATTAAAGAAATCTGAAATCTATTTAATCTCTGTAGTGTTTTTACCGAACAAAGAGCAGCAGGACGAACGTTTGACACTCACCTGATGACTGAGGATTCAACACTACTCTGCTCTGCATCAGACACAGTCTGCCGGGCTATGGCCTCCCTCGCTGCCATCTGCTTTTTCTTCAGACTCTTCAGGTTGTGGGATGGAGACCATTCCTGGAAAAAATACCGTTAAAAAATGTTACAAATGGGCATGAGGCAAAATAAAAAGGCAAACTATTCTAACTTATTCTTCTTGTGCTACTTTTAGGGCATTGTAGTGGGTTCCTTTAGTAAGCAGGAGGTTTTTTCAAAGTTATTTGGGCATTATGAAATAAGTTTTTTTGCTTTTATCAATAATCTCTTTATTGTTTATAGAATAAATATAGTTGCTTTAATTTCACTGTTAAACTATTTTCAAAATAAATTCCCAAATTAAATTTCAGTAATAATTTAAGATTTCAGACCAATTAAATTTTTTTCCCTGAAAAGGCTGAGCTGTAGATGCAGCAGCTTCAAAGCTGGTGGAGAAAAGCTAAATATATTTACTCAGAAAACTGATAAATATTGATATTTAAAGGCTACTAATAAATCTGCTGTGCAGACGGACCTCAACCCTAACTTGCAAAAGATAGAATGGGTTAAAACTGGCTATAACAATAAGAAATCATCAAAGTAAGAAATCATCGATGTTATTTAAATAAGGAAAACACAGCAAAAGAGAAATTGATCCAGATTTCATTAGTGTGTTAATATGGTAGTACCAGTGCAGTGACAGTGGGGAAGTTCTTGGCCATTTCTCGGAGAAGGGTGCCGGTCCTGATGTCCCACAGCTCCAAAGGTTTGTCTCTGAAAACCACCACCAGGTATTGTCTGTAGGGACAAAACATATCTCGACATTTAATACCAAAGATCTACTGTGTTTGGAATAACGTCAACCAACATTCTGGAATAGTGTGTAAAGAGGATCAAGTCAAAGTTCTTGATTTAAATCTAATCTTGAAGTTTTTCTTCTGTTCCCTTAGAAGAATTATACTTTATAATGTTGCTTCAATTCCCAAACTTCTTCAATGGCCAGAATAGTTTAAAATATTTCTTTTGGTCCAATAACCAACTATCTTCAAAAAGGTGACTATATCTGCAGGAAAAAATAGGTTTGATTGGCAGTACAACTACAGATGTACTATAAATATGCAAAATGTTAGCTTAGTCTATTTCTAATATAAAAAGAAATTTACTACAATAGTCTGAAGTTATGTTTAGTTGACACAGGCCACTAGTGAGCACTATAATCTCTGTTCTTTATAACTTCAGAAATTTCTTTTAGTAATGCTAGCTGTATTAAATATGTCTGAAAAAATGTCTATGAAAAAAGGTCCTTTATTGACAAACAGTCTGACCACATGGTTCCCATTCAGTAGAGGCTAGAAGAAACACGTTTTGAATGTTATTCCTGATTCTTATTGCTCTAAAAGAGAAATCAGAATTGGAATTTTGTATTAGCATATTAAAAGTATCAGAGAAATATGAAGCTCATTAAATTTGCCCCAAAGCTCTGATGGTTGCAGCCCTACTTCATCTAATATCTTTAAATAAACTGCTGTAAGTCCATTTTATGGTGCATGTGATGTATTTGTGCAAAGTTTTGTATCTTCAGTGAAAGCATGAGAAACTGTTCAGTGTTAGTCATTTTTTAGGTCACACGTGGAAGGAGCTCATAACTTACTTGAGATGAGACACTTTAATCATTTCGATGGGCGGCTCATCATTTCCTCGCTCACCTCTGAATGCAAAACATCGACCTAAAGCACAGGGTCAGAAAGCAAACAAAAACAAAACAGGCAGTCAGATGAAGAGTTTGTGTAAAAGAAGGGCTACTAATGGAAGACTGGCAATCTCATTTTCCATAAGAAAAAAAAAAAACAGCTTGTTTTTTCTGTACTGCTGGCGCTGCAAGGAGAAAATAAGTGTAATTTAATACGACCACCTGCTGTAATTTCTTCTACCCTCTGGCAACTTTCCATCCGCAAATGTCAGAATTCATTCAAAGCTTCAAGATGGTCACTTTAAAAAAGAAGAACGTCCTTCGGGTGTGTGCTACAACTTTTCCCGACGGAAGTGCTGATCTGATTATGCAAAGGACAGCTTAGAAATTATTAGTTTAAAAGGTAAAATTAGAACATCTGCACAGGTTGATTAGAAGCTACATGACCTTCCTGACAACTTCAGTAAGCAGATAGAAACGTGAAAAGTTTGTTAAATCTACAGATCAACTAGACAAACTGGAATATCAAAGGATTCTTTTTATCCAGTAGTTCCATTAAAAAATTACGCTGATGCATTTAATGTATTTAGGGAAACAAAGCAGATACCGGGCTAATATTTAGGGATTCTACATCAACTTTTAAAAATATCCGGGTCCATGTCTTATTCAGGACTTCTTAAATGGCTTTAATTAAAGCATACATCTTTAGATCCTTAGCTTTTGAACTGACAGGACACAGAGAACATTGCAGTATGTAACCAAAGGGACGGGTCTGGTCATCGTTGCTTTTCATTTTGTACACCAGCTAACATGAGAACTAGTTTATCCTGTGGAACAGGTGACCCATTATAAATACTAGGCTGGATTCTGAGGTGAAATGTGTGGCAGTCTGTAAAAGGAGACACCAGCTCCTGCCCTCTCTCAGGAAACTAGTTGCATTCAATGTTGATATACTTCTATTATATTTTTCCCTCCTGAAAACCATCTTTTACAAACACCAAAAATGATAACTGCTTGTGGAAGGCATCAACTGTCCCCATAATTCAATGTAATTAAATAGTACTTTATTTATCCCTCCCTACCAAAAACAATATGCTGTAGTACCCCATAGGTTTTTTTTTTCAATTAGTTGTTGTAGCTGTTTATAGCTGTAGGCAGGGGAGATCTTCTATATCTTTCTATTATATGTGTATATATTTTATCTCTTTTTATTCTTATTCTTTATCTTTATTATATTGTATAGTTGGATGTGTGTATATATCATATAAAACTGTAACTGGAGCGTGTAACAAAAGTAATTTCCCTCTGGGATTATTAAAGTATTTCTGATTCTGATAATAGTCTGTCTTGCTCCAGATCAGAAGACACCTTTTACTGAAGACACTCTGTTGCTGTTTAAGTCTTATAAAGAGGATGTTAACTGTTGTCGATAGCATTTTGTCCTTTTCATACTAAAGTCTGCTCTCTCTCCTTTCTTGTAGACAAATTCAGTTACGTCTCCAGTCAACTTTGTTGTCCAGTCAAACACTAAGGTATTTATACTTCTTCACCTCCACTCGTTCTTCCATGATGTTTAGCATTCATTTTAGCTTCCTAGAGCAGCGGTCCCCAACCACTGGGCCGCGGACTGGTACCGGTCCGTCTGTCATTTGGTACCGGGCCACACAGAGAAAAAAAAAAAAATAATTTTATATATATATATATATATATAATTTATCCACGTCAGAATCTGAGTGATGTTTTATTTTGAAAAGTATAAAAAATTTTAGTATTCTCTCCAATTACATCAGTCTGTAACTCTTAACACAGGTTAATTCAGGTCAAGATTCATCCTATCTACAACATCCTATCTTTGTGAAGCGGGATTTTCTACGGTTACAGCGACCAAAACAAAGCCACGGAGCAGACTGGACATTAGGAGCACACTTCTTGTGTCATTGTCTCCGATTATGCCTAGATGGGATAGGTTTATTGCGGAGAAACAAGCTCAGGGCTCCCACTAATTCAACATAATGGGGAGTTCTATTTTTATGCTGTTTGTATTTGATATTATGTCAGTCGTATCATTTTATTTGATGGTATTAACCCCCCACACTTTAAAGGCCGGACTGTGAAAATATTGTTTGACATATAACCAGTCCGTGGTGCAAAAAAAGGTTGGGGACCGTTGTCCTAGAGGACACTTTAGCACCCCCCAGTGCACCCAGTGTTTTGCTTACAAAACACTATTTTGTGTAAATAAGCAGTATAAGTTTTACATTTTGAACATAAATTCAGAGATGTGTTCTCTTTTATTCTATTAAACTACGTTACAATAGTGTGCTATCAGTAACATTTTGCACAACTATAGTTCACAGGATAAACTAGCAAATTATTTCTTTTGTTTGTTTTTCTAAGTAGAATAAAATACATTGTGCATTGCTTACCAGTGGGGAGGTCGACATGCTGGAGCTCATTTCGTACCAGGCCCATGTTGTTGGGGGAAGAAGTGGCAAAAGAGAGGAAACTAGTCAGACTCACCCATTCGAGCCCCCTGTGGAAAAAGCAACCAAAAAAAGATAGTTTAAAGGTCATATTATGTCCATCTATGACATGGAGTGAAGTTGTCATTTGGCCCATAGAATTATGGGAGCTTTGCTGACTTTACAGTAGATCTTGCAAACTTCTGGAGAGTTTTGTGTATCAGGTTTTCAAACTGTTAGTGATTGCATGAAGCAAACTGTTGAGACAGGAGCCACTAAATAAGAACATACATGTATCATAAGCCTCATAATGCGTTTTTTTTCCTCCCTAAACTTGTCTTAAACGTGACATAATCAATATTTATTTTTCAATAGAAAAAATGCTGAGTTCTAAAGCCTGAAGTCCCTTAATGTACATATTAAAGAATTCCTTTTTAATGTAGTTTCATTAAAAACTTAATTTTATTGTCAGAATGCTTAATGAGATTGCCTAAGCCTTAGAACAAAAAGCATATTATGTTATTATGTCAAGATCATCTTCTTGATCATCTAATCCAGATTTAATACTTTTACTTTCCAATATTATTCAAATCAAACAGTTATCACTTAACTGTTGTGAACTTTTTTCTAACCAACTGAACATCTAAAGTAGCTCTATGTGCTTTTTTTTTTTTTACTTCTGGCTTATATTGATGAGACTCTTGCAAAACTGTCTGGATGAACACAATACAATCAGGAACATTCTGTCTTTACCTGACTTCACAGGAGTGTACACTGAGTTCTTTGTGCAGCAAACCACTGGTCAGGTTGTACACCAGTACAGACCCGTTGCTGGTGCCTGAGATTCAGAGACAGAAAAACAGCGCAGAAAGAGAGATGAATGAGAAAAATAAGAGTCACAGTTCTTCAGCTTTATAAGATCTTGTTGCAGCTTTTATCAGCGCTAAATAACAGAATCAAACTGTTGTTGCTAAAGAATGCTGCACTGCGTGATCTGTTGCAGAAAGTCATTTGTCCTTTAAAAAAAAAGTTAGTTTTATGTGTGGATGGGTGGCTGATGCATTCCTACCCACCGGCAGCCAGAAGGGGTTGATAGTGGTTGATGTTTTTGGTGGTGAGAGGAGGACACATGCGGATAGCAAACGGTGGCAGCGGCAGACCAGAGAGGAGGCCTGTGAGCAGGAATTTCAGTTGGACCTCCTGCTGGTTTGATGTTGGAACGGGAGTTTCACCAGCAATCAATGTCTGTCCTGAATAATTCACAAAAAACATAAGAGTATTAGGTGGTATGATTTTTTTCAGTGCGAGTGGGACTTGACCTGTTTGTTGCATGTTGTTGGTCTCCAATTTCGTATTTTAAAGAGGAAAGAAGCCAGCATTTTTGCACATCCTGCTTTTCAGTAACTTTTTTCAAATTTCTGGACACAGATAGGTTAACATTAATAACATATCTATCTGGACATACAGATAATTTAATAATTATGCACAATTTTAGAACTGTATCATAAAAGTATCTGGAAGCAAAAATTGGGAAGAAAAACGATAATTTCCTTAGTATTTCCTTTCTTTAATGAGGAAAGAACAAACATTTACTCTGGTGGTTTTCTGTCCTGGTCCTCAGGACCTACTGGGCCTAATTTTTTGGATGTATCTCTTCTGCAGTAACCCCCTTAAGCCTGACTAGCTGGTACCGGCCCAAGAATGCAGAGCCCCTTTTTTTCAGCCTTGATTAAATTAGGGCAATTTTTTTTTTTTTGTCTTTCTTTCTACAGGGGGAGGAGGCTTTAATTTTTAGAAAACATGGAAATTAATAATTATTGAAAAATTCAATTCACAAATTATTTCAGTTTCACAAAGCTTTAAATACAGAAGATGCCATTTAAGGGCCTATTAAATTTGAAGACTACAGTTATCAATTTTTAGCAACCTATTGCAAGACATCTTTGTCAGGAATTGTGCATTTAACATATGTAACAGAAGTTACAAAAGTATTAATCACTTCCATACAGAAAGCCCATATCCTGATCTTCAGGTAACACAGAGTACATGTCAGATTAAATAATACTACTTATATTTCAGCGAAAGTATTGTTGGTTGTAGGGATGCACGATATAATCGGCCCCCTATCGGTATCGGCCTGTATCGGCCTTAAAACTGAATATCGGACATCGGCCACCCCACCGATATTTAACCCGATATTTGATCGGCTTCTGAGTTTCGAAAGTCTAAAAAAAAATAATACTTCTTCTTTTTCCTCAAAAACTTCTTTTTTACAGACTTAAAAACTTCTAAAGAAGAGGGAAAAAATATTGATAAATTAAAATATCACAATATCTTCATATGCTGATATATTGCCATTTAAAAACACCATATCAATCTCTTTTACTAATGAAATATTGCTATATGTCATCGTTATGCTACGAAATCCCCCGAAAATTCATGAAATTTTGCCATATTTTAATATGTTGATATATTGACGCGGTATCGATCTATTTTACTAACAAAATCTCACAAGAATTTGCAAAATATCATGAGTTTGTAACAAAACGATGAAATATCCCGAGATTTTGAAAGTAAAATAGATCGATACCGCGTTTTTAAAAATCAATTTGATATCAGCATATGAAAATATATTTGAGTATATTATTTTTCAAAGTGTCAGAAATGGATAACAAAACTGCTATTTTCAATGACTACTTATTTTTGTTCAGCTTTAACATCGGTATCGATATCGGTTATCGGCTACATGAGTTTTAAAATATCGGCCTATCGGATATCGGCCAAAATCCCAATATCGTGCATCCCTAGTTGGTTGTGCTGTTCTTTTTACATCCCTTTGCAGGTGATGAAGCAGACTGAAAATGTTTTATCATTATCTCCCTTTTATTTCCTCTTTTTCTGTTTTTCCTTTCCTGTTCTACTTCCACTGCAGTGCCCATATAATCTGTAAAACTCCCTGAATAATTATAATAAAGCAATTTCTATGCATAAAACAAGTGGAACACTATGGCGATAGCCCTACTTGTGAAAGAAAAATCTGCTCTTTTTGGCATCAAGACAATTATATAAAAGTATTAATCACTTTTCTAATCTCCATGCTTTGTTCCCCTTTAATTTCTCCAAAAACCCTTGGCAATATTCAGCCTACATTTCTTGACCAAAGGCTCCGTTATATAAAGGAAACCAGCACTTTACCTTGACAACTTTTATGAGGTAAAAAATTGTGTTGCACCGATACCGATACCAGTATTGGACCGGGCCCCGATACTGCCCTAAAATGGTGGTATCGGTATCGGCAAGTACCAACAAATAGGGCACCGACACCATTTTGAGAGCCATAAGTTTATTCAACTATTGCCACCCACTCCTGGTAGGCAATACAAAGTTCTACTGGATTCACTTTGTATTAGATTTTTTCCTGCTTCACAAAGGTAGGCAGCAGCTTGACAAAGCCATGATGGCAATTATTTTACATTATTATGGTATCGGTATCGGCCGATACTGCACAGCCAGGTATCGGGTATCGGTATCGGGGCCAAAAAATGGCATCGGCGCAACACTAGTAAAAAACTAATTTAGCAAAGTTTGGCACAAATGAAAAGTCTGTCTGGGTAAATGACCCATTAAAGCCTTTATTGATCAAACATGCCTCAACTGATTCAGTCTTTATTTACTGCTTATAGAGTAATATGTTGATAAATACAACCTGAGGTGTCTCTGAGGTTTTTAATAGGACTCTTCACCTTTTCACTGTTAATTCTGAAAAAAAACTTTATGCTTAAAATGCTGATAAATTCTTTTTTCTAAATCACAAATAATTTTCACAGAATGGTGTAAGATTTGGAATGCAACTCAGGTGACCCGGGTTCGAATTCCGGTTGGGTCTGAAAGGGTATGAAAAACTTTGTAAAGTGTGTTTGTGATACTTGGGGTGGCGCCCCTGAAATGAGAGCATCTGATATGACACAAACAGCGTCACTGTTTTGATGATGGCCCCACTGTGAAAATATAATTTCACAGTATCTCTTCTCTACACTAAAGGCAACATTCTCGATATATTTTAGTTCTAAATTTTGAGGCTGAAATTGTAATGAAACCCTGATTACATTTGCCTCTTCTGCATACTATCTTTCTGCAGAAACCTGAAAATCATCCTTTCTCTGTAGTTTAGCATGAGGGAGTAGAGAATATCTAAAAATGTGAGACCCTGAGGATCAAGATGGAGAACCGCTAAATGAAACAACTAACCTGGTATCTGAAACCATTTTTTAAATGTTTACATAAAACTAAAACAAAAAAACAAAAGAAGAAAATTATTTACTCTTTTCATCATGAGCCCAGTTAAATTATTTTTGGTTTTTAAGTGTAGTGTTTCACACAAAGGTATTAATATTTATATTGATCGTCTGTTTAATTAGCTGGTTACAGCAGTCAAGAAAGGGAGAAATAAAAGTTAAAATATCAGACTGCATCTGCTTTGGCTTGTCAGGCAGAGATGACAGTGTTGGTCATGGTCGTACCGATCATACTGTTGAGAGAAAGATCCTGGATTCTTTTTTGGTTCGGAACCAGAGGAGCTCCACAAAAAGACACAGGGGAGTAGAGAGGCGACAGAGCAGAGCTGTGGAGCAAGAGCAGAAAGAACATTCATTAAAAATGATTTTGTTTGTGCTTCTGCACAAACAATAGAGCCATAGCAATGTTCCCATGGGGATAAGTGTGTACCAAGTTCTTGTATATTTGTCAGAAAAAAAACATTTATAATTGCCATTTTGTCAAATCTAGCAAAAGAAAGTGCAAACGAATCCAAAATAAGCAGACCTTACTTTAGTATTTTCAGCAGTATAACTAAGTAGAACAAACAATTTCAAAGTCATCTCAGTGCTCTTTAAAAACAAAATGTTCCTCAATTTTCCAGTTATCTGAGGCAGGGTACAGAAACCCTCGGCTTGTATCCAAGATATTGTTCTGTACACCAGTGTTTCCCAACCTTTTTTGACTTGTGTACCCCTTTGGGCATTTGTCTTACCATGAGTATCCCTCTCAGTCAAAAGAATTTATGATTTTCCAAAAGTGGAACATACAATAACTGAAATAAAGACCATTTCAAGACTGATTCCTGTGAGTAGCAAAATGGAGAGATACTGAGGATCTTATGTCCCGGTTGCCATTAGACAATTTAATGCATCTTGAAGGACTGAGTTGTTTATTATTTTTTTATTTTTTATTTAATTTTGTGTTTTTTTTATCATCCTATTTTATATGTTTTTATTGACAGTATATCTATCTATATCTACCCCTTTCTATCTCTCTATCTTTCTATATATCCTAATTTGAGCAATTAATTTTTATAATTTTATGCTTTCAATTTCAAAAAAAAAAAAAAAAAAAACCCTAACCTAGGAAATAAAAATCTTTCATGAATCCCTTGCAATGCACTTGTGGACCACTAGGGGTATGCGTAAGCCCGGTTGGGAAACACTACACCATGTTCAACTTTTCATGACTAAAGGTGAAGGTAAAACTTAGATGGAGGAGAAAATTGAGAACTTTACTCCTGGTTTAGCTCTTTCTGTTAGACAGACCAAAGCAACGTACACATCTTTTCCTCCATCAGACCATCTCTCGTCAACAAGGCATAAAAAAAAAGCTTATTACACCGCTTAAGGTAGAAGCTGAGTGGCCTCGAGTCAAATTCAGCTCTTAGACTCAGGGAGCTAATTATTTTCTAAACTGCTTCTCATTCAGCTGAGCTTAGTGTAATAGAAAGAAAACAGAATCTAATTATCACATAAAAATAGTTTTAGAGTTTGCCTACCTTGGATTGGCAACAGAACGCCCAGTGTGTGCTTTGAGCTCCCAGAACATGACTCTTCCATCGCTGACCATGAGAGCAGCTTTGTTCTCGTTTACAGGGCAAACAACCATCCTGTATGGCCGGACCGTCTTCGTGACTCTTATGGCATCACACTGGGAGCGCAGGTCATAAACAAGTTCCTGGAGACTCTGTTCTGGGTCTGTTGATGACAAACAAGAAAGCTGTACTAGTTATGACTTAAGAGAAATGAAATGTCATAGTAAATGAGAAAATATGAGAAACTAAATAAAGTATCAGAAATTAGAGGAGAGGATTTTAATTTCACTAAAATTCCATTAGCTTGGAACAGCAGGTCAAAGATAAACGAAAAAACAGAAGGTGGAAAGTAAAGCACAGATGAAGGCTAAATTTAATGTGCCGATGGCTGGAGCAGCATTTCTACATAAGACCACAGAGAGAGGACTAAGCTTATTTTCTGAGGAGAACACAACTAGAGGGTGATCTGGGTGTTAAAGTTCCCATCTCCCTACCTGCTGCTTCCTCTATAGCTGAGGTCGAGCGGCACACCCGCAGAGTAATGCAACCGTTCTCATGCAGACAGTAAAGAGCGTCACGCTGAGCGCAGGGAACAACCTTCAAAAAGAAAAAAGATGCTTTACTGTAATAAACATAATAAAATAAATTGAGCACAAACAGATTGACTGAAACACATTTAAACAATACATAGAACTCAATGTTTATAACAATTTCAGAAAATATGAATTAGAAACATTTAACTTGTGTGACATGGTTTAGAAATTATGAAAGAACAACAGTGAGGTTAACGTTTCATTTTCTAAAGTGGTTAACAGCTATTTTAAGGTTCTTTTGAATCAGCAGCAACTGATGTCAACTCGAAGTCTGCAATACTTAAACTTGTCAAACTTGGATCGGTATATCGTAACATGACAGCAGGGTAATTAAAGCACAGCTTGTAATCTGTGATACTTTGATTCTATGTGCAAAACATAAAAAGAAAACATTATTTACCTAAAATTCGCATTATAGATTTTGAACTAACAGTTCATTTAAAAACGTTGATTTGAGAAGGTCGTTAAGCCTTTAAAAGCTGACCTTTTAAATGGGGTTTCTGTTAGTATAGAATAGAATAGAAAATTCCTTTATTGTCCAACAATGGGGAAATTCTGGTGTTACAGCAGCAAAAAGATTATAAAAAAAAAATTCACACAAATGTGAACCTTAGAAGAGTGTACAAGAATAACATAATAGTGAAAAGTTAAAAGATAAACAATTAAATACTGAACTGTAAAGTGTTTTAACAATATAAAAAGTGTGCACCTGGAAAATAAATAACCAATATACAGGTATGGACCTTTTTACAGTAATGAAATTATAAATTTGAAAATAGCAGCAACATCAGAGATGTGCAAAATGACAGCAGCATGTTATTTAACTGACTAAGGTAGAAACTGTGCAAAATCAGCATGAATGTAACAATTTATTTAGGTTTTTGGGAACAGTGATGGTTATAAAGTCTTACACTGCTGGGAGGAAGGATCTGTGATAACGCTCCCTGATGCATTTAGGGTGCAGGGAGCGTTATCACAGATCCTTCCTCCCAGCAGCTGTAATCTAAATCAATCTGAAACATGGAATGAGTTATAAAAAAGCTCAGGCAGTGATGTGGCTTTTCACAAACACAATGTTTAAAAATAAATACAAATTAAAGGGCTTATGTTTTTGCAATTTCAGTTAAATTGTATTTTGTTGTGCTTTTGTTTGATTCTTTACTGTCTGCAAAACAAATTGGGCAGTAAAAGAATCAAGTCTGGCAGCTTAAACGTTCAGCCAATAATGTAAGGCCAATTTATCCAGACTTTATTGGATATTAATGCTTTTTTCAAAGATTTCAAAGCTGCATAGAAAAAACTGCTAAGTCTAAAACATGTTTTTAAAAAGGTGTTGACATGACCAGACATTTATTGATCATAGCAAGTCAAACCATCTAAGAATAGGCCTTTTAATTGCAGACTGTGATTCTTTGTAATTCTGTAATTTTGTTTGACAATATTATTTATGCAATTATCTAAAATATTTAAGTGGGGAGAAATCATCATAATTAACATGTGTTTACTTTCATACATATCAAATTATTTAACTATTTTACTATTTAAATATAAACCAATCTACCTCATTTATTGGAAATCAGGCATAAAATTTATGAATTTTTTTTTTAAAGCACTCTGTGTTAATAAAAATGAGCGGTATTAGTGAAAGTGGTTACATTCTCCTGTGTAAGGCTACAGCAATCATTCATTTTACAAAAGAAAACAGGAATTAGGAGAGCGCTAAGGGATTGGAGGATCATTAAAAGAGTGTCTGCTTTTGCCTTTAAAGCTGTGACAAGATATTTGATGATATCCAATTAAAACTAACTTCAGAAGGCAGAGACTGGCCATTAAACCCCAGATGATGCTAACAAAGACAACTGAGAGGAACTGAAGGTCTAGCAGTAAAACAAGCTGCTGTTTTAATCTTCAGTGCTGCTCTTTGCAGCCATCACACCTTGAAGTAAACAGTAAAGAATTAAGTCAATGTCAGATGATGGACTTGACTTCTAGGCAATAAATGACAGATGAATGTAAAACCAACACCAGACTGTGATAAAACCGTTACTGTACACAGAGAACATGGGCAATGAAGAAAGCTTAAGAAGGTGGTTCCTCACCTGGGTGAAGGGAACCCCAGAGCGCTCAATGGCCACCACACCCACTGTCTGGCTGAGCTCCAGGTCCAGAATTAAAATTTCTCGGGGATAAAGCAGCAGCATGTGGTTCCTTTTGGACGGCAGGTAGGACAGCTGCAGACAGTCATTTAGAGTCACTGCCTCTGTCCTGCAGCAACACACAGCAGGAAGGAAAAGAGCTTTATTTGTCAGACAAATCACTTCAACTTTTTCATTGATACACCGGGAGACTAAACAGCTGAATTAAATATTAGACGTACTTGGGATGCCTTGCATACCCTTTGAACTATTCTGTATTCTTTCATGTTACAATCTTAAACCTCAGTGACTTTTTTTTTTAAGATTTTAGGATTTTCAGTGACACACAGTGATGCAAAATTTTAGAGTAAATGGAAAACTATTAGCGATGTTATGAGATGAGCCGATGCTTCGAGGCATGTGTCGAGTAATGGAGGGGGCATTTACCCGAAGCGTGTGTCGAGGCTTGATTCATTTAGAGGCGGGGCCAAAATTGATGACGTCCGAGGCCTCGCTACCGTGATACCACCTGACCGCTTCGGGAAGCACAAGAATTTTGACAGGCATCTAAACAGTCTCAGTGTTCAGTCAAGATGTGGGAGATTGGAGGAGAGATGCTGTCAGTTGGATAGAGTTTGGATAGATTCTAAGAATAGATTGGTTGTTTTTCCAACCAATCTAGTTGGTCAAAACTAATTTGGTTAGAATAAACAATGTAATGATCAAAATCTGAGCAAGCCACTGGACAAACTCAGTGTTAACACGTCACTATTAAGTAGTATTTTCCTCCCTGATATTGTTATCTACATAAGTGGCGTCATCTGTAGGAGACAGGCTCTTACACTAGAGGTTGATGGTTCAACACCTGTCTTTGACTTTTGAAAGTTGCAATTAAACTTAATTATTTTGGCTCATGAGACTAATTTGCATTGTTTTGCCTGAGTAAAAATATAGCTTGGGTAAATTAGGTCGGTTTACAAAAGATTGGTTGAACACAACTTCCAACCTGATTAAAACCAAAAAACGTGGAAAAACTATAATGTTTGAATAAAAAATGACTAACACCTTTCATTCTGCTCATCATTGCCCAATTTGCACAAACACTTTCACTGTCTGTTTGAGTTTATTTCATTAAAATGGCAGAAAAACTGTACACCTTAAATGATTGTTCTGAGAAATTTTACAGTTAAAAAAATTACAAAAGATTTTATTATACACACAAACCATTAACAATTTCAAAGGAACTTAAAAGGGGAAAAAACCACTGATTTTATTACAAACTGTAGTTCTGCTGTCCACCAACAGGTGGTGACATGTTCACATGAAGCCTCATGAACTGTGGGGATCGTTGAAGCAGTTTGGCCAAACGGTTTAATGCCTCATGAGGCTTCATCTCACCATCACTAAAAACTATACACTACAATAAAAATTTTTTTATAAAGAAACACCTTGTTTTGTATAAATAACAGTAATACTTTTGGGGTTTGTGTCTCATTGCTTCCTACATCTACAAGACACACAGATTTTCACATACTTTTATGCAAAATAGCTCAGTTTTTGCCAGATTGGAACATACACTATATTGCCAAAAGTATTTGCTCACCCATCCAAATTATTGGAATCAGGTGTTCCAATCACTTCCATGGCCACAGGTGTATAAATTCAAGCACCTAGGCATGCAGACTGTTTTTACAAACATTTGTGAAAGAATGGGTCGCTCTCAGGAGCTCAGTGAATTCCAGCGTGGAACTGTGATAGGATGCCACCTGTGCAACAAATCCAGTCGTGAAATTTCCTCGCTCCTAAATATTCCACAGTCAACTGTCAGCTGTATTATAAGAAAATGGAAGTGTTTGGGAACGACAGCAACTCAGCCACGAAGTGGTAGGCCACGTAAACTGACGGAGCGGGGTCAGCGGATGCTGACGCGCATAGTGCGAAGAGGTCGCCAACTTTCTGCAGAGTCAATCACTACAGACCTCCAAACTTCATGTGGCCTTCAGATTAGCTCAAGAACAGTGCGCAGAGAGCTTCATGGAATGGGTTTCCATGGTCGAGCAGCTGCATCCAAGCCATACATCACCAAGTGCAATGCAAAGCGTCGGATGCGGTGGTGTAAAGCACGCCGCCACTGGACTCTAGAGCAGTGGAGACGCGTTCTCTGGAGTGACGAATCGCGCTTCTCCATCTGGCAATCTGATGGACGGGTCTGGGTTTGGCGGTTGCCAGGAGAACGGTACTTGTCTGACTGCATTGTGCCAAGTGTAAAGTTTGGTGGAGGGGGGATTATGGTGTGGGGTTGTTTTTCAGGAGCTGGGCTTGGCCCCTTAGTTCCAGTGAAAGGAACTCTGAATGCTTCAGCATACCAAGACATTTTGGACAATTCCATGCTCCCAACTTTGTGGGAACAGTTTGGAGCTGGCCCCTTCCTCTTCCAACATGACTGTGCACCAGTGCACAAAGCAAGGTCCATAAAGACATGGATGACAGAGTCTGGTGTGGATGAACTTGACTGGCCTGCACAGAGTCCTGACCTCAACCCGATAGAACACCTTTGGGATGAATTAGAGCGGAGACTGAGAGCCAGGCCTTCTCGTCCAACATCAGTGTGCGACCTCACAAATGCGCTTCTGGAAGAATGGTCAAAAATTCCCATAAACACACTCCTAAACCTTGTGGACAGCCTTCCCAGAAGAGTTGAAGCTGTTCTAGCTGCAAAGGGTGGACCGACGTCATATTGAACCCTATGGATTAGGAACGGGATGTCACTTAAGCTCATATGTGAGTCAAGGCAGGTGAGCAAATACTTTTGGCAATATAGTGTATTTCTTATCATCACGATGGGATCAGCAGGTCGAACCTGATATTGGAGTGTAACTTACGTTGGTTTTTCATTGGTGATCAGCACTTTCACTTTGTTAAGGGCCTTCTTAGCACCAGTGGGTGCAGGAGTAGCAGCGGGTGCAGGTTTGGTGTGCGCTGGGCTTGCATGAGGGCTGGCAATGTACACCTTTTTGCCAGTGCTGCTTGGTGGCTTAGAGTGGGAAAAATCAGTGATAAAAACGATTCCTTCGCTGGTCAGCACTGCAAAAAAAAAAAAAAACATTAATTATTAAAGCTCATTCTTGTAGAGAGTTGGAATTAAGTCTTCTTGAAACTTTGCATTGAAAACTGCTGAAATACCAATTAAGTCTCAATACTCCTCTTTGCATAAAACATGGCTCACATATAAAAATTTCATCAACTGTTAAATTGTTAAAATAAAAATGTTAAAATGAAAAATAAGCCTTCTCATTTAACAAGACTGGTCTGGCAAACTTTATTTACTTTAAAGTTTCTTGCTTCAAACAAATAACAAGTTTAAAATAAAAAATGTCATATTTTAAAGTAATTTCCACATTTTGCTCTCAAAAAATGTGTATAACATCCATCCATTTTCCGTCACAAGCGGGGTCGTGAGGTGTTCTGGTGCCTATCTCCAGCTGTCTACAGGCGAGAGGCGGGGTCCATCCTGGACAGGTCGGCAGTCCATTGCAGGGCAAAAAAGAAACAAACAGGACAAAGAACCATTCACGCACACACTCACACCTAAGGAGAATTTAGAGAAGCCAATTAACCCAACAGTCATGTTTTTGGACTGTGGGAGGAAGTGGGAGTACCCGGAGAGAACCCACGCATGCTCAGGGAGAACATGCAAACTCCATGCAGAAAGACCGGGATTTGAACCTGCAAACTTGTTGCTGCAAGGCAGCTACACACTGCGCCACTGAGCAGCCCTTTGTATAACAACAATAACTTCTTTAAATTCAATTAAAAACTGTCCTTAGTGCAGAAATGACTGAAATAAACTGTTAAATCACTGAACGAAGAATCTTTAATATCTTACCTAAATAATCCATATTTCTTAAAAAAAGATTTTATGTAGACTTTGTGAGATTAAAATGACTTGAATCCAAAACATTCTACCTGACTATTGTTAATTCTATGTATTGGTCATTTTAACATTTAGTTTTGTGGACTGTTTGCTGGAATTGCTTTAGAAGCTTTTTCCTTTTCAGAAATGATTTCACCAAGTTTAAAAAAAAAAGAAATCCAGACCCTTTACTACATGCGCCAGCTAAAGTGAAAAACTGAAAACTGAGTGTGGCAGATTTCTGAGCTACTGTTTAACCTACATGCCATGTTAGATGGATCGAATGGGTCAAAGGAAAATGAGAGGATATTCTCAGCATAGCTCTTCTTCCACAGCTTGGTTCCTGTGTCACCGTTCCACAGAACGATGTAGTTAGGAGGATGAACCGCTAACAGGAGGTCCCGAGATGCATCCTGATTCCACAACCACTCTAAATCTAACAGAGAGAGAGAGAAACAGGGACACAAAGGTCAACCAAAGAAGAGGGAATTAAATCTGCCAAAGAAAGTGAATTTGTGCTTCAGAGAAATCAAATAACTACCAGCAGAGCAACAGTTTGATTTCAGAGATACCAGAGGAAAGGTTCTCTCTAGAAAACAGAGTCAGAGCTTCCTGAACAGGTTCTTTAACATCCTCACCCTGAATTGGTTTTGAGTGTTCCTGGATCTCGCAGTGAGCTGTGCCACTGACTACGTCCCACACTATGATCTTCCCGGAGGCATCTCCTGAGGCGAGTCGCAGGCAGTAGGGAGAGCTCAGGTTGTGGTAGTAATTTTCTCTTGACCATTTCACCTAGGAGCAAAAAACATAGTCTTTGACTTAAATAGTGTTAATTAGTGTTAATATATTAAGGAAATATGTCAAAATGCTGAATTAAAAACAAAACTATCATATACCTGAAGTTTTTGTTGAAATAGTTGCTCAGTTACTCACTTCACATGTAATTAATTTGTACGTACTTCACACATCAGTTACTATTTCTAATTCTTCTAATATGCCGGTTGATCAGTAATGTCCTGTTGCTGCCTTTTACAAAACCAATATGTGGGTTCAGGTGCTTCGAAAAGAAGAATAAACCTGGGTATTAATTTGTTTATGGATTCGGACTTCTTGGGAAGACAGAACCAGGTTTTGCGCAACAGTTTAGCACAGATAGGCTTGTTAATTAGAAAGATAAAAGGGGAAACTTTTAAGTATAACACTGAGGTAAACTTCCACCCCCAGCTCAAATCTTTTGATGTCTCAAACAGGTTCTCTTACAGAACAGACATACCTTTAACTCCCTCCGTCTTCACCCTAACTCTGTCTAGCACTACTGACTAAAACAGGGATCCTCTTAGAAGGATGCTACCAAATCAATCATCCACAGTGAGCTGGTGTTTTCTAGGGGATGTTCAGAGTTCGTTCTCTGTCACAAAGACATGTTTTAGTTACACCTTCATGTCATGTTGAAATTGCAAATTGCATTGTTGCAAAGTACTTTTTCTATGACCTATGCACAGACGATCTTGTTAAAAAAAAATATTGTATAGATAAATTCCCAATGAAGAATTTTTTTTAAAGCAATAGAAAAATATAAAAGTGTTCAATTTATTTAACATCAATCAATCATATTTGAAAGTATTTGTTAACTCCTTGACAGTTATATTTTCTAATAGTATGTTTTTTTTTGTGCTTTTTTTTTTCAAAAAAATTGTCCACATGACAATTTTTTTAACAGAAATTGTTTTGAGATTTGACTGCTGGTTGTCTACAAAGAAAAATCACAAGAAAGTATCTGGAAAATTTGCTTTGCATTTAAAGACAATTTTGCTAATTTACTACACACTGCAATAAGATAACATTTTAGAATAACAGAAACTTTAAAAGGTCATTATCTGCTTACTTTTCAAGTTTAATGTCTAAAATGAATAAATGCATAAATAAATTGAATATACGGAAACTCACCTTGACAACATTTGCTTTGTGCCTCTCCAGGACCTGGATGGTCTGAGCAGTCTTTGGATCAATTATGAGAATACTGGAGTGACATCCTTGCGCTATTAGTCCCTGCCATCCCCTGTAGGATGTGGAAAGTAAAGGATGGATAAAGTAAACAAAACCATCAACAATTAGGAAATTGAACATGGCCGAAAATCCTCCATTTTAAGCCATATTTGACTTGATATTTTCTTTGTTGAAGAAAATTAAATTATTTTAAAAGCTCTAACATAAAGTGTTGTCTATTTATTGTAGTTGGTCTAAAACACTGAGATATCTTCTCCATTATCAACACTTTTACCTGGGTCCATATTTGCATCACAAGTTCCTGCTTTTAAAGAGATTTAAAAAAGAATCTTTAAATATAAATTTATGTTGTCTATGAACCAAGCTTTGCAACAAACTACTACCAACTACTGTCCAGACCAGATGTAAAAAATAAAAATAAAAATCATGCAACAGTAAAGCAAGAAATGTATTAATATGCTCAATATGATTAAACTGATTACTCCTCAAAATTGTACAAGCCCTCCTTTCCAAATTACAATCAAAGCAATTTATCAAGGCCTCCTTTTCTGAGCACTTCTCTAGGCCCTTTGTAAGTCAATGTAAACAGGGTAAAAAAAATAAAAAAAAATAAATAAATAAATAAAATTATGTACGAAAGAGGAATAGAGCCACTGAAAACATGAAAAGAAGTTAACTGATTTTTACATTTTATTTCAGTATAACATGAAAAAAAAAATCTGTATTCTGACAGCTAACAAACATGTTAGCATCAAGCCGTAGCCATATCAGTTTTAGAGATTAGCTCTTTGGTTTTAATCACCTTCTTTAATGAAATAGCATCACTGGGGACCCCTTGGGCATGTAAAAAGTTGCCTAGTTGCGTTATTTTCCACCAATTTGTTACTGGCCCTTCCAAACAACTCAAATCTTTGCCAGTAAAGCTGAGTGCTCCCACATCTCTTCCTTCATGGTGCCCATCTACATTAAGATCCAAAATTCTGAGATTAAAGTCAGAATTGTGAGAAAAAATTTAGAATTCTGAGGAAAAAAGTCAGAATTCTGAGATTACAGTCAGGATTCTGACTTTTTTACCATATTAAACTAAAATAAAATTTAAAAAATCAGTCTACTTTTTTATTTTTTTCAGTGTCCCTTATCCTCTTGCGAAATTATGGGATTATCTCTGTAAAACAATATTGATTTGCATTTATTTTTACTTTTCTCTCCTGTAGGAAATCTCTTTTGATCAATACATTTGACTTTCTATCTTATCTTTTTACCTCTGTTCTATTTTCCTGTGAAATTATTATAGAAATGTTGACCATAATATTTAACTGATATAAAGTGGAGCGTTTATTGAGACGTGTCTGTCTTTTGCAGATGTCCTCTAAGGATGCTTTCCCCCCCTTTAAGTCTGTCTTAATTTCAATCTGCGATCTACGCTTGCAGTCTAGGCTCGGTGTCCCAACAAACACTACATCATGATTTAATACTGACATTAAAGATTCTTGTTTCTTAAATCTGTCCAGGCAAACTGACATATCACGTGACACTGAAATGTCCTGCATGTTTATACAATTCTGCAATTAAAAGGTTGTCTACGCTATAGCGAAACAATCGATTTAGTCAAATAGATCCGATAACACTAAAAAAATACCTGACATTTACACTGTCATTAGCAACTGAATTATAGCAACACATAAATGATGCTAACAGCGGAAGTGCAGTACTCACCAGTCGACAGCTGTTTTATTCTGCAGATTTAGGGTGCCAGTCAACGTCCGGGCAGCTAGCTTGATGTTGACAGTGTAAGGAATCATTGTTGGCAGTAAACCTGGATGCTACATTAACATTTATCAACGACAACCTGCGGAAATTACTTTGCTTCAGGATGTTCAGCTATGCTCAATTCTACCAGGAAATGAATGGGAATTCCATAAACACTGCCGTCAAGAAACAGATCCCAGAGCACTTTGGTTCCGCACGTTACGTTTCAAATTTTTTTTTAATCCGCAAGAAAACTGCTATTAAGATTAAGAAATAAAGCAGAATTGAATCCTAAAATGTAGTGGTTCATTTTGGCCCAATCAGCCTATTTTAATTAACTATTTGCACAACATTTTAAAAATTGTACAATACCTTGCTGTAACTTACACTTTTTTCTTATAAGAAAATTAAGATTTGGGCAACATATGAGTTTGGACAACCTTCCCCAAATTGCTATTTTAAATTTCATAAAATGCAGGAGTATCTGTACTTTCCATTCCTTATATTTTTCAAACAAACATTACTCGACACTCTTGGCGTCGGTTTAATCATGTTTATAAATATTTATTTCACGTCATGTGCACCATCCAATGCAGATCATTGGCACCATCCACATCTAGTGAAAACTAGTTTAATTGGAAGAGTCATATAACGCAAACACTCATTAGTTAGCCAATGGAAATCATCAGAAGCAAGCAGGTGTTCTTCAAACTGCAAAGGTGAATTGTCTATGCCATGCTACAATGTTGGATTCAGAAAAAGATGTTGAAATGTCTGAAAGGTCGGACACAGGCGAGAGCGTATCAGGAGATGGAGACGGATCAACAAGACCTCCCTCATACTTGGCCCTATCTCAAAGAATTTTTAGAAATAGTTGAATAGTTGTAAAATTGAGCTTTTAATTCATATAGTGGCATCTGGCTGTTTTTTTTTTTTTAAGGTTATTTTCTACTTTTATACTTTAAGTAAGTCAAAGTCAAAGTTTTGGAAGTGGCCATCACAAAGACCTGATCTCAGTCCAATTAAAACATTTACAATTAAAAGTATGTTTTGGAGAACATACTTTTTCACTTTTACTTGAGTAAAGAGGTCAAGTTGATACTTCAACTTATAAACTGCAGTATCTTTACTTCTACTTAAGTAACAAATGTGTGTACTTTTGACACCACTGATATTATGTAAAAAAAAAAAAAAAAAAAAAAAGAAAAAAGATTGGTTCATACTATAAGCTTCTTATAGTTGACTGCTTGAATTTTGGTTTGATTCCTCCAAATAAAACTAGTGTTAGTAGTTTCTGTAGGTTACCTTGCTTGCACACAGCTTTTTTAGGTATGTTCACAATTTTTTAATTGGACTGAGATCAGGTCTTTGTGATGGCCACTTCCAAAACTTTGACTTTGTTTTCCTTATTACATATTGTAACTTTAAAATAGATAATATATTGATAATTCAAGTCACAGGATGTTGATAGAACCCAACCAAAGAAGACTGGATTTTATTTTAAATTATTATTTAATCAAAACACATTATTATACCAGTGCAATTTGTAAATTTATTTTGTGTCTCAGTCAAGTGTTTGTGGAGTGCAAGCATTTAAGCATAACAGACAGCAGGAGGTATACATTACATAAACACGGTAGATTACGTTCTCATTGAGCTGACAGAATTGTCTTTGTTTGTATGTAAATTGTCCATGCACATTTTAAATATGATGATAATGAATATAGCTCCAGTTACCAGATGCCATTCTTCTCATTTTAGACAGACAGCTGCTATTTCAATTACTTTTATCTGTGGATTATGTGAATGTTGTAAGGAGAGACATTATTTTGTCCTTACTGCATCAGATTTACAAAATAATGACACAATAACCTATGTATGAAGAGATCTGGTAACAAGTCATCAATCTTATTGCAGTCTGCTGGACTTGAATTAATTTAAAAGTTGCAGAATAGTCTGGATTTAACAGGAAGCCAATGAAGAGAAGCCAGGATAGGAGAGATATGATCTCTCTTTTTAATTTTTATCAAAACTCTGGCTGCAGCATTTTGGATCAGCTAAAGCCTTTAACTACAGTTTGTGGACTTGATAGCAAAGAATTACAATAGTCCAGCCTTGAATAACAAATGCATGGACTCGTTTCTCAGCTTCATCCCTAGACAGGATATTTCTAATTTGTGCAATATTCCGCAGATGAAATAAGGAAATTCTAGAAACCTCTTTGATATGGGATTTATATGACAGGTCCTGATTAAAAGTAACACCAAGAGATCAGTTTAATCCAATCCAGATGAAGTGACTGACTAATAATTTTTTTTTCAAATACTTTTCCAAATACTATAAATTCTGTTTTGTCTGCATTCAGGAGGAGAAAGTTAAGAGTCATTCAGGTTTTTATGTCTTCAAGACATGCCTGTAATCTATGTAATGGGTTAGTTTCATCTGGATTTATAGACAGATATAGCTGGGTATCATCAGCATAACAGTGGAAATTAATCCCATGCAGTCTAACTCTACCTATTGGAAGCATATATATATATAGTAAAGAGAATTGGTCCTAGCACCGATCCCTGTGGTGCTCCACTGGTAACCTTTGAGCATGAGGAAGATTTGTCATTAACGTGAACAAACTGAAATCGATCAGATAGAAAAAATTTAACCAGCCTAGTGCTGTTCCTTTAATTCCAACAAAATATTCAAGTATTTCTAAAAGAATATTATGGTCAACTGTATCAAATGCAGCACTGAGATCCAACAGGACAAGCACAGATACAAGTCCTATATCTGAGGAAATGAGAATATCATTAGTGACTTTCACCAGAGCTGTTTCAGTGCTATGATGAGCACTAAAGCCAGACTGAAACTCTTCAAAAAGTTCATTATGGTGTAAGCGATCGCACACTTATTTGTCAACTACTTCGTGAAGAATTTTAGATAAGAATGGAAGATTGGATATAGGTCTATAATTGACCAAGTCATCTGGGTCAAGAGACGGTTTCTTAAGTAAAGGTTTAATTACATCAATCTTAAAAGTCTTTGGTACATATCCCTGTAACAGAGATAGATTAATCACATCTAAAATGAAGGAGGAGATCAAAGTGAATACCTCCTTAAATAACCTGGTTGGAACTGAATCTAACATACAAGTTGAAGGCTTAGATGAAGACAGTAGTGTTTTCTAACTCTGAAAGTTCAACTGGATCAAAGTAGTTTAAACCCGGTTCAGATTCTATGGCTACCTCAGTGCAAGTGACTTTACTTGCAAAGAAGGAATTAATTATACTGTTATACTGTTTCTTCTTTTTGGATAAAAAACAATCAAGTTATTTTGAAAGCAGTCAAACAAGATGCAAGTAAAAGGAACACTGTGTTCTAGTTGGTGTTTTTCCTCTCTTAAAACAAAATAAATAAACTAACATAAATCAGTCTCAGGGGCTCACCTGAGCAGCTGCAACCACCAACACTCAAATGAGTCCATCAGGGAGGCACAGACGCGAATGTATCTTATTAGTTGCTCCAGATTGGCCATCCTGCAGCCCAGATGCAAGTGACCCTTTCACGCCCCCTAAATGCAGAGATATTGTGATTAAAGCATGATTGGCACGCTGCTTATTAATTATAATCTAGGACACATATGCACAGTGGTGGGCAGAGGGCAGGCAGCAGTGTGTGCCAGACCCATGTCACATGGAGGCTAATTTAGGCTGACACACAATCAGAGCATAGTCACACACACACACCCACACACACGCTAGAACAGTCCCTCGACACCACAACATCACCTATAAGCAATCAATTTCTTCTCCACATCAGTGAGGAGAGGTGAGAAGAGAAGGTTACATCAGATTCAACAGAACTCTGAAACCAAACTAACACCTGCTGGCAGCGAGGAAGATGTTCTGCAACTTTAAGTAAATTGTTTTTTTATTATTTCTATCTCAAAGCTTGAACTCACACCTTTGGTCTAGAAGAATATGTTGAAGACCTCCCAATCTTTAATTGTTTAAAAATATTTTGCCTTTTGCACAACATTTTGCTTTTTTACCAGCTAAAGAAGTGGTCTTTTACCATTAAATTATTTATAGATATATAAAAACAAGTTTCAGGAATTAAAACTGCAAACTTGATTCTAATGAGATCTCAAATAACAGACATTTGTTAATAAAAAAACATTGTAGTATTCTTAACAAACACTTATTTAATTAAACATCTGCAATAATGCAGCTCAGATCCTTAACCACACAATATTATATAATTGATTATGTTTAAGCATCTTTAAAATCACAATAACTATTTAGGGATGTATTTTTTGATAGGTCTGCTAAAATCTCTCTACAACTAATTCAACACTACCAATTTATTTAGTTATTACATACTTTTTAGGAACATTTAATTATAGATTTTCATAAAATTGATATTATCTGCTCTAAATTATTTGGTCATATTTCCAACTCTGCGTTAGACCCCATTCCTTATATGGAAAACTCTTGAAAAAATACTAAAAAGAATGGACCAGGAAAATAAAGAAAGCTCATACATCCTAATAACTGGCTCATGTCAGGATAAAGAGACAACCTGTGTCACTCACTTCACCTGCCAATGGTTATAACGTCATGCCTAAAGGTGAATGTCGACATTTATCCTTGATCATTCTGGTTCTTGTGCATCTATATGCATCACATTTAAAGTACCGGTTTGAGGGAAGACAGGACTAAAAAGAGAGCATGGAATTTTAAAAAAGACAAATGAAGAGTCTCACAGGGAACTGAGGACAATCTGTCATTTATTCAATTAGCTAACGAGGTGAGGGAGCCAAAAGCTCCGAGAGGATTGATGGTAGGAGAAAAATCTTGCAGCAGGCAACCCTTACTCAGGATTTTCCCTCTCATTATTATCTATTTGCCTGTCTAGATCTTCCTCTTTTTTTGACAAAAGGATGGTGGTAGCTGGAGAAACAACTAAAGTTTAAACAATAAAGATTATAGTTAGAAATAAGACACAAACATTTTTTTATAATTTCTTCTGTGGGAAGTTTCTCAAAGTATTTCCCTCTAATTCATTTCAGTTTTTTTGTGTTGTTGCTCTTATGTCATAGCTTAATCAGACAAAGATACCCCAAGTGAATACAAAATACATTTTAAAAAGATTTAATGAATTAAAGCCCA